GAGAGAGAGAGAGAGAGAGAGAGAGAGAGAGAGAGAGAAGAGGACTTACCTGCACCAGCGCCATAGCTGGCTCCGCGGTAAGCCATCGCCAGGTAAGTGCAGAAAGCGCCTAGCTTTCTTCTTCTTCTTCTTCTTCTCCTCTCCTCTTCTCCTCCTACTCCCCCGAAGTTCTTCTTCTTCTTCTTCTTCTTCTTCTTCTGTATTAGAGTAGAGATAGAGGTAACTGCAGACATTGTTTGGACACGACATTCAGATCGGACTTACACTCTACATTGGGATTGAACTGTGTGCGACATTCGGAGATCGGACTTGGGTTGGACTTGGTTACCTCTATGTCCATCCCCCTTCTCTCTCGCATGTCTATGGATCTCTCCCCATGTGTGTGAGCGGAAGGGCAATCTTTCTGGTGTCTTGCCCTTCCGAAGTTTCTCCCTTTCATGTTGCTGTCCACGTGTCCTCTTGATACTAAATCTTCCGCTGCGCTGCTTCCCAGCCTATGATGATAATGATACGAACGTGTTGTTGTTGATTTCTCGTTGTTTCACTCTTTGCATCGCGCACATTGACACCTTGTGAATGTTGCACCTATGCTGCTGGTTGTTGCCACTTTCGTCATTGCTAGATCCTAGGCTTTCAGTGCATTTCACTTTCTGATATGCTACAGTAGTACTGAAAACCAATGTCATGGAGAGCATACTCTCCCCTCATCAACACAAGAGTCCAATCCCTTCACTCTCCTACTTAGCGCTCAGCGCCCAGCCTACTCCTAACACAGCTACTACAGCCTACTAATAGACAATGCAACTGTTGACATCAGCAGCAACCCGAAGTACTTGAAGATGTCGCCCATGCAGACCATCGCCAATACAAGGTAAGTGCCCTCACATCATCATCATCACCATCCTTCACCTATCCGCTGACTTTACACCCACGTCTGTCCTCTCTTACACTCGAAGACCACCCCTGCGCCTCACTGTAGACCAACTCCACCAGCTATGGTGGCTGGGCTATGGCGCTGCCCTCAGCAGCGCCCTTCTTCCCTGCACGACCGCACATGCTGCACCTCGCCTCTCAGCGCCAGCCAGCAGCCGCGAGCTCTTGCTCCAGCAGCGCTTCCGCTAGCATGCGAGTGCCTGAATGAGGCTGCCAGGGGTGAGCTCTTTCCTTTATGGAAAGAGCTGGCCTGCTCGCGCAGCCTGGCTGCACTGGCCTGGGCCCAGAAGCTTCCGGAAGGCCCCAGGAGGCTGCCTGTGTACAGCAGCTACTGGGCTGCTGGGCCTCGTTCGGTTGGGCGCCCAACTGTCTCTGTATGAGGCTGCGAATCACGCAAAGGGCCTGCATTCTTTGGAAAAGCCCGGAAGGCCGTGGAAATGTCTTTGTTGCCNCCAACTGTCTCTGTATGAGGCTGCGAATCACGCAAAGGGCCTGCATTCTTTGGAAAAGCCCGGAAGGCCGTGGAAATGTCTTTGTTGCCCGTCCTGAGTTTCTCTCAACCAACTGGCACGTCGCAACTGCCTGGACCCCAAATATGAAATTGACAGTCGAGGGCCTCTTGCGATATGTCAGGCCCGCCTTCACTTAGGGCGGGCAATGCTGCAAAAAGGGCCCCATAGGCCTACCGAGGACCCTGGTCCTCGCAATTTCGTTTTCATGCAACAAATATCTGAAATTTTCTGATAGTAGCATTTCGTTTCTCTGATATTAGCATCCGAAACCTTCTGATATTTGCATACATAGCCGAAAATTTCTGATGTTCGAATTGAAACGGTATTCACCAGTTCACCGTAGCTGATGCAGATCCCAGGGCTCGATCCCTAGTTCCCACCTTACCTGTGTACGGTATCTGTGTCGGCCCCTAGAGTTGAACCCGTGACCTGTGTATTTGTAACAGTTTGTAGGCTGTCGCAGGGTCCGTAGGTTGGAGGGGTTCGATCTATAGACCTGTCGAGGTCTAGAAGTCGTAGCTGTAGGTGTCTAGAAGGGTCTAGGTCGGAGTTGCCTACAGTCCAGGTAGGGGCAAGTGGACAAGTGGCGAGGCTAACCCGGTAGGTTAGCACTGCGACTGCAGTGAGTCGGCGATGCGACCCCATGCAGTCGGCAGGACCGGTCCAGTCAGTCCCAGTCCAGTCCAGCAAGTACCGCATGGGACTGTGTGCACTTCGGGCATGGGAAAGGGCCAGACCAACGAGCTGCAGAAGTATAAATCAAGAGACAGCGGCCAGCCATTCATCCATTCCTGCGAGAGTCATGCGGAAGCGCTGCCACAGCGACTTGTGCAAGGAGGTCTGTAGTGAGCCCGAAGCTGAAGTGGGCGAGAGAGAAGGAGCATAGCCATAGCGATAGGGTAGTAGCGGCCATAGCCGCCATAGTTGTAGTTAGTGTGTAGCGTGTGTGTGTGTGTGCGAGTGCAGAGTACCGCATGTGGGATATCCAGGGTGATCCGGTGTATGCGAACAGAGAGTTGTTTGGGCACTGAGTCGCCATAGCCATCGAAAGTGAACTTGTATCTGGACTGTGTTTCGGCGACCATATCTCTGAGTTCTGTGTGGGCGGTTGTCACCAGTATGCTGTGCGCCTGTTTGCATGCATGTGAGTGTGAAAGAAAGCGAGTCTGATTGCATTGGTATCGGAGCTGGTACCCGCTATTCCACGCGCCGCGTTGTGTGCCGCAGGGAGATGATGCGCCATAGCTGAGGTGGCCGCCGAGAGGAGAAATCCGCCATAGCGGACCTGGAAGTCGAAGAAGCCGCCGCGCAGACCTGCAGAGAAGACCACGACGAAGAAGAAGACAAAGAGAGAGAGAGAGAGAGAGAGAGAGAGAGAGAGAGAGAGAGAGAGAGAGAGAGAGAGAGAGAGA